AAAAAAGGGGGAATTTGCTGGAAGCCGGTCCATCCTTGCTGCTTGACACAGTCGCTGCAGGAAAGAAACATCTGCACAGCATATGTTTCAAGGGACCTGGCATATATAGCATATTGTTCTTAATATGTTTGCTCTCCTTAGTGCCATGTGTTTTAACCAAGGTCACCTCTCTGAGAAAGGTTGTTTCCCCAGGTGGGGATTTTTCCCCGAGGTTAGGGAGGGGATACAACCCCTTAATTAAGTGCCAGGCGGGTAGTTAAGCTACATAATCTTTACTCCCTGGAATGGAGATAAGAAACGCCCTAACCTTTGTAATAGAAATTGACAGGATTAAAATCGGCTGGTATAAATATAGATGTAACAAGACAATAAACATCAGATCCTGATCAGTTCCTAACCAGAACTCCGACCAGAACTTTGGCTGGAGATCCTGGCTAGAGGTCCTGACTAGGCTGCTGATCAACTGAAGGCTGTCTCCGTGTCATTCCTTCTTCGCCGACTCCGTCCACACCTTTGGGGACCCCTGGACCTGTTGGGGTTGGACCACAACATAGCACTATTAAAGGAAATTGAACAACTTCATTTTAGTGAAGCCTGTTAAAGCACCACATGCTTCAATATTTTATGAGAACATTTGAATGTTTTAGCATTTTGGCAAGATAATTCATAGGTTGGCTTCTGGAGTCTATATATTATGTTGAAATCAAGGAAGAAGATGGGATTAATACAGTCTGGCTGGAGGTACTATGTGTGAGTTAAAGTGAATTTGAAAAAAAATCAACTGTGAGGAGATAACTACCTATTTCTTTTCCAGAAGATCCTTATCTGATCTGTCTGACTACCCTCTTACCAAAAACTTAACCACAGGCTGAGGGTTTTTACCGGAATGCAGAAATACCATGCCTGTGGGTGCTGGACACTTTGCCCCTGCAGTCCCACTGACATGTGCTCACCAGTCCTGGAAGGTGTGGAAATTGCAACATACTTTTGCTCCCAATTTGTTGAGGTTTCAACACTGACTATAATAACTCTCTCCATTTGAGGAGAAAATAGGATACAATTGATTAGCCAGATATAGGGAGGGCATCATTTCATTCCAAGAAAAGTCTGATTTATTAATATCAAAAAAGCAAATAATTCATTGCCTTTTGGGATCTATTAAGTAGTTGCTCATCAAAGGAACTAATAGTTCTACCTTATTGAAAACACACTACTGCTGAATCTGTTGGTATCTGGCACATGATTTCCTTAAATACTTGATGTATGAATGAATGAATGAATGAATGAGCCAAACACAGATGTTGAATTGCATCAAGTTGATAACATAGCAGGGCAGAGTTCAGGCTCCAGAGTTAGGACTCACAATTTTTCATCTTTGATAAACTACTCAGTTTACTCATCTGAAAAATAAAATTAATAGTATCTTCCTCATAGGGGGTTTTAGGAAAATGAAATGAGATAGTTAATGTGAAGGTGTTTCCTGTTTTGTGGTACCCAATAAGCATCCCATTCTTTGGTCCCTATTTGTCCTACCATAAGCCAGACACTGCTCGACATAAAACAAATCAGCTTTTCGATATAATTATTATGTTTCCACAACCAACTCTTGGTTCTGGTTGGAGCATCGTGTTAGGAAGGACACTGATGGGCACTTAGTAATGTCTGACTTTGGTGTGGGAGTGAGAATAGCCACAAGCAGGTACAGTGTCTGGCACACAGTGTGTGACCAGGGGACAGTTTTGGAAGGAAGGTTCCTTTGCAGGACACTGTTCACAAGTTCACAAATAGATGAGTCTTCCAGAATAAAGTTTTACTTGAAGACACACCAATTCAATTTGAACCCAGAGCCCGGAGGAATTTGTAGTTTGGATTAAATGGGGAAGGGCAGGAAACCCAATTGCCCCAAGTCCTTAAAGCCCAAATCTTCCAACATTTTACAACTTGGAAAAACTAAGGACCAATCAAGCAGACTGTATGACTGGATTGGGCCCCTTTCCATGATCTCAACTGTGGGCATCTTTACTGATAAAGAAGAAATAAAAGAGGAAGGACAACAGCCTATTTCTCCCCTATGAAAAATTCAAACCGAGCTGAGCGAAACACGACTTAGCAAACTCACAAAGTGCTTATGCATTTTTAAAAGAGGCAGCTCTGCCATCTCCCCCCACCTCAAACTCCCCACCTGCTAATGGCTGGGAACACAATGTGCATCATTTACAGCGACATCTGGGAAAACTGCTTTCCCTGTCTCCTCTGTCAATGATGTAGGAGCCTGCGCGTCTGGGAGCGAGGTGGCCAGATTTAATTTATTGGGGCTGCTAAAAGACTTTCTTAGTATCCCAGCTGAAAAGTCAATAACGGCCAAATTGATGTTTTTCTAATTCTGCTAACCTTGGGAAAGATATTGCAGAGTGCAGATTGGGAGCAGGCAGGCTGTGCAAGCTTCTGAGAA